GAAACATTTATATAATACAAATTGAGTGCATTTTATATTAAATTTTCTCTGTAATTCCCAGTAATTTTAAACCATAATTCTACAATTCTACAATTCCACAATTGTACTATAAATAATGTGGTTTATATTGGGTTAAATGATATTCATTTAGCATGAGCATTAAACAGTGTAGCTAGAATTCTGAAATTAGTTTTATAATTTAAGTTGACATCTCTAGGCACCAGAATCCAAGTTTCATCAAGATCGTATGAATACTTATTGAACAGGAATTTTTCAAAGTTTGTCAGTCGGTATTATTTTAAAATATTTACAACAAAATATTTGTCAAAAAATAATCACATTTTTAAAGTGAAAATATTTTTATCAAAGACGTGTTTGAAGTGATTATTTGGTTACTGGGATTCACTAGTAGTTATCTGACAATAGTTTAGTGTAGATATCATGACATCAATTATAACGGGAGTCAATTGCGAACCGACCGAACACAGGCCGTCAATCGGGTTAATCACCAATTTTTGTGTGGCCACAGTTGGGGTAGCGGTCAATGTTGGCCAATGAATAGACCATGGTTAGATTCCATATATGATGTAGTTTTCACAATAGTAACCATTATGTATTATGTCTATTATTGTTTAAGCATGGTTAATTTTACTACGATTTCAACCGTCGGTAAATACGAAAACTGGTACCCTCCCATAGGAATACATTGTTTTGCCCTACTTCATTCAAAAAATTCCTGTATCAACAGTAAGTATACAATTTTGATGAAACTCGGATTCTGGTGCCTAGGAATGTGAGTCTAAATAATGAGACCAATTCTAAGATTCTAGCTACACTGGAACTGGGCTAATATAATACATTATCATTTAACCCAATAGAATTGTTTGAATGCTGTAAAATTTAATAGATAAATTCATTTAAAAATCAACATAAAAAATATTTAAATTCTTTTCTTTAGACCATCCAATTTATATTAATCGTAATATATATTTTAAATATGTAAACTTATACAAAAATTATATATTAGTCCCCAAATGTAGTCATGACGTATTAATGGGTTTATTTTAAAATTAATATTTTCACCATAGAACATGTGCTTTTTATGCCAAACTATTTTTTGTACAAAAATAGAATATCACAACCAATAAAACAGGATCTGTTAATAAAATAGAGTAAAGAGTAACTACTGGTCGTTTCGGGGCTTGTACCAGTTAAAAGCTATAATAAAAGTGTTTTTTAATTTTTAGAACATAATAGGTTTCGTGTTGCCCTAAAAATCTAAACAATATACCATAACAATTCTATGGATGAATATCACTGATTAGGGTGGTCAAAAAGTTGCCGCACTCTTGGCTTTTGCTTTGATACCTTACCGAAGTTGGCCGCACATAGATAGTGGCCACCATTCGGTCAAGACTCTAATCCCATATATGTCGACTGAAATATGTTCATGGAATAAGGTTGCAGTGAATATACTATTTTGGATAATTTTCACGTGATATGGAGGAGCTAGAGGTCAAGAAAATTGAATTTGAGACAATCTTGGTGCTGAAAAAATCAACACAAAAAATGTTTTTTAAAATGATACTGCATTAGAAGTTTAACAACATAAGATATAAAATCCATAACCACACTATCATCTGCCCCGATGTACCCCCTACAGATTATTGTCGATTCCTACCACTTCTATTGTATGTGTGAGAAATGTTATTAAAAGTTGTAGACCCCTGAAATTTATTGTGTCTAAATTTTTTGCCTAAAAATCGAGTTAATATTTGAAATACTTTTAACTTTTTAAATACCTTCTTATTCCCTAACAACTAATAACAATAACTCCCATCTCTTAAATAATTACAATTAATAGAATTCTTATTTTGTTAAAACTTAAATAGTGGTATTACGCAGTACTACAGAGATTCGCATGTTGAAATGTAATAGTAAATAGTCACTACTGTATGAGTTATAAATATAGCAATTTATAGACAGATTCATATTTGATAGCATTAGTCATGCTATAACTAAAGTATAACCTCACTATACAAAAGTGGCCCATGATCGGCCCCTCCGCGTTTTAGTGGTCATGATTAACTTTGTTAACTAATATTATGGCATAGCAACTAATTGTTATTATTATTATATGAAATATACAGTATATTGAAGTGAAATATTTTGAATAACATTTTATTAATTTCATAATAACTCAATTAATGTGATATTCCAATAGTAATCTAATATTTAAATTCAAGGATTGTAATTTGCATTCCAATCAAAAAACATATACAGTATATGCTATATTGAATAACTAAATAGTTTAACTCATTGTGAATTTGTGCTTACCTCCGGTTAAGACTATATCATAGATTATGAAAATATACTGCAATTACTTATTATAAAGATTTTTAATGAATCTAAAATCTACTGACTTATCAATGTCAATTTAAACAATCATACAATCACTTGATTTAATCCCAAGATATGTCGCGACAAATTATAGCAATGATGGCATCACTTCGTGTCAACAGACAACAGGTGTTTGACAAATATTTGACTGTTTATTGAGTTTTCATTGTTTTTGTTAAACATTTTAGACACAGATATACGCGAAGAACTCAATGGACAGATTCGGTGATAAACTTTATGAACACATATTGTCTTATCTCTCACTCGAAGATCGGTTTCGATGTGAATGTGTGTCTAAACAGTTCCAGAGGACAGTCTTCGAGAGTGTTGTGGTCTTCACAATCACAGATCGATTATTTAAAGGGATAGAGAGATATATAAAAGAGATATTGGTAAAAATTGCCAAAAAGTGTCCAAAGATTCAAACCATTGACTGTCGAAGAATGGAATTAATTCATAAACACATTCCCGAAGTGTTACGCAATTTGCGGCACAATTGTCCCAATTTAAGAGATATTTATTGCAGTGTTAGGGAAAACGATCACTGGATCCAAGAATTTGGACCATATATAACACGAATTGAAAAATTTTCAGCATTGAAAATATCGGATATGAAAAGAAATTGCGATTCATTTATTCATTGCAATCGATTGACTCATTTGGAGGACGTTTTTCAATTGTCTCACATTTTCAACACTTCCGGACAACTAATGGCAAAAAATTTACAGAAATTAACTTTAAGTTTTTATTTCGACAGAGATTACGACCGATTGTCTGCATTCGTGGCACACAATCAGTGCCTTAAAGGCCTTGAAATGAATGGTGTAGGCAATGAGTTATGCACGTTAGTCACCGATCATTTGTGTCGTTTACCGCAATTACGGCGCTTAAAAATCTTGCTGGAAATTAAACCCATTGAACACTCATTGAACGAGTCTTTGCGCACAATTGGCGCAAAATGTCCGCAATTGCGACGACTGTCACTAACAGTGATGTCATTCGCTAAAGTATCTAATGTTCGGGCACTGGATTTGTTGAGATGTTTTCCACGATTAAAACGTCTGGATTTATGCCTTTTTGTGGACATCGATCAGCAACTGTTGGAACCGTTGAAACTCTGCCAACGATTAACACATTTAGAAATATATTTGTGTCAAATGCCTTTACGACCAAATATACAGCACAGATATAACAAGATTAATATTAAGCGATTTGTTCGCACCTCAAGATTACCGGCGCTGCAAACACTTGTCATTCAATGCAATGTAAGCATTGATCTCTCGGATAATGATTTCAATTATCTCTTGTATAGAAGTCCTAAACTTAAGTCAATTGAAATCCGTGTAAACAATGAGAAAATGTTTTATTATAAGTAAAATTAATTTATGGCTAAATTCTATTGAATATTTATTTCAAAGACTATTGCGATGAATGTATAAATTTTATTTAATTTTAGTATTAATTACAATTTAATTAAAATATTTTTAATCACAAACTAATACTGCATTTCATTCATTGAAAGTTAGGACAAAAAGTTGTACAAAAATGTAATGAAAATATGTGTCAATAGATGTCTCACTCGTTGTCAACACTTTGTGTTGGCTTTGAATTCAATGCAAATATTATCACATTTTGTGACAAAAATACTATTCATTCAAACAATCACTTCATTTGATCCCAAGATATGGGACAACAAATGACAACAACGAAGACATCACTCGTGACCACAGATGACGGCAATGAAGACAACAAACAACAGGTATTTGACAAACAATTTGATTGTTTATTGAGTTTTCATTATTTTTGTCTCTAATTTTAGCCACAAATCTATGCCAAAGACTCTTTGGATCGATTCGGTGATGATTTGTGTGCACTTTTGTTGTCTTACTTCCCATTCAAAGACCGATTCCGTTGTGAATGTGTGTCCAAACAGTTCCAGAGAACTGTAGTCGGGAGTGTTGTCGACATCAATATTGACGACAGTTTTATGCGTAAAATATCGTATAAAAAGAGAGTTAATAATCAAAAGTTGGTTTCAATTGCCATAAAGTGTCCAAACATTGAGACCATTGTCTGTGAAGTCATATCCACTGAATATATGAAAAACATGTGCAAAGTTTTGGACACATTTCGTGACAATTGTCTGCATTTGCGGCAAATATACTGCAAATTGTGGTCAAATAGGACTCAATTAAGCGAAACGATTGGACCACTCGTCACACGAATCCCTTATATGTCATCACAAATGACTGAATCACTCATTCATTGCCACCGATTGTCACAATTAGTGGTCCACTCGTTGTCTGACGTCTTCGACAGCAGTTCCGGACAATTATTGGCGAAAAATTTGCTGAAATTTGAGTTCAATAGCTATTCGAGTGATAATAAGAAACTGTTGTCTGCATTTGTGGCACACAATCAGTCCCTCAAAAGTCTTAAAGTAATGTACGATTTAAGTCGAGGTCAGAACAGTCACGAGTCTGTGACCCAAATATACGGACAATTGTCACGATTAACACAATTACGGGAATTGACACTCGATTTCGAGATATTTAGAGCCGAGAACTCATTGTCTGAGTCTTTGCGTACAATTGGCTTAAACTGCAAACAATTGCAACGATTGGCACTTCAATTGAATTCCTATAACACAACACTCAATGACCAGACATTGGATTCGTTGCGATATTACGACCGATTAAAACGATTGCAATTATCACTCAATGAGAATAATATCTCACTTCTAGATAATATGGAAGTATTGGAACCGTTAAAACTCTGCCACCGATTACAACATCTATCGTTGATTATAAGGCAAATGAGTGGCGAATTCCTGATTGATTGCGACAAACAGTGGCCACGACTTCACTACCTGTCCATCAAAAGTCGTGATTTCTCTCGCGATTGTTTGTCTCACATCTCAAGACTACCGGCGCTGCAAACGCTTGTCATTCAATGCCAAAGAAGTGATGGACTCAGAGATAATGATTTCAATGATCTGTTGTCTTCGAGTCCTAAACTAAAGGTAATTGAAATCCGTGTAAACAATGAGAAGAAGTTTTATTTGAAGTAAAAATGCAATAAATGTTTAATTATTTTAATAATTATGATATAATTATATAACAGAAACTTTTATTTGATTAAACTTTAGAGAAAACAATTTTCTATAAAAGTGTTCAATAATTAATTATTTAATAATTTGTTATACATTAACATTAAAATAACAATTGTATTTCTTGTAAACAATGAGAAAAGATTTTATTTAAAATAAAATTGATTTAAATATTTTAATTACTTTGGATTAATTTTATTTTTACATATTTCTTAACTATTAATGCATTAGTTTTGTAATATTTATTATACAATTAATTTTAAAATATCATTTTAACTGTTAGTTCGGTTCATATAAAGTTCTTTATAATTACTTTATTTATAACTTTATTTATTAGAGCAATGGAAACACAAATCGAGGCATTGATCACAAGTTTTGAGACAAACACACAGTTTATGAGAGTTAAGTCTTAAGAGACAACTTTATGCACATTTTATACTGTAGAGTAAAACACTCGTTCTCTCTCTCTCTCTCTCTCTCGTGTCAATAGATGTCAGACTTGGTGTCAGTCTTTGTGTTGAGTTTGTATTGAATGTAAATATTATCACATTTTAGATGACATTTGTTTGCATTTCATAACAAAAATACAAACATTCATACAATCACTTCATTTGATCCCAAGATATGACACAACAGATGAAACACAAGAAGACATCACTCGAGACCACAGATGACGGCAATGAAGACAACAAACAACAGGTATTTCACAAACAATTGACTGTTTATTGAGTTTTCATTGTTTTTGTTAAACATTTTAGTCACATATCTATGCGAAGGACTATTTGGATCGATTCGGTGATGATTTGTGTGCACTTCTCGTGTCGTATCTCTCACTCGAAGATCGGTTTCAATGCGAATGTGTGTCCAAACAGTTCCAGAGGACAGTCTTCGTGAGTGTTGTGGACATCACTCTTAGCGATGGATTAATTCATAGATTACTGAAAGAGAAAAGAAGTGATATTCAAATGTTGGCCACATTTGCCATAAAATGTCCAAACATTCAAACTATTGACTGTCGAGAAGTAACCACTGAATACGTGAAACGTGTTCCCGAAGTGTTGAATACATTACGACAGTATTGCCGGCATTTACGGCACATTTACTGCAATTTTTGGAAAAATTGCGATCAAATAGTCCAACAGTTCGGACCACTGGTCACAACCATTTCTAACATGTCATCAAAAGGCAAACAATGGATCATTAATTGCCCGAAATTGTCTCAATTAGACACCAATTCGTTGTCCCGTCTCTACGACAACACTTCCGGACAAATATTAGCTAAAAATTTACACAAATTTTGGTTATTTTGCGGTCACAATGAGAGTAACCAACAGTTGTCTGCGTTTGTGACACACAATCAGACCCTTAAAAGTCTTCTCATAAGTGTTTATTATGACAATAACGAGGACTTGAGTGAAATGCTGACCCAATTGTCACGATTAACACAATTACGTGATCTGACACTCGGTTTATATCTACTGAATGGCGAGAACTCATTGTCTAAGTCTTTGCGTACAATCGGTTTAAACTGCAAACAATTGCAACGATTGTCACTATCTGTTGAATCCGAAGCCATAAAACTCAATCCCCAGACATTGGATTCGTTGAGATGTTATCACAGCTTAAAACGATTGCATTTAACACTCGTTGGAGAAAACACACAACAGTTATGGGAACCGTTGAAACTCTGCCACCGATTAACACATTTAACACTAAACCAATCGGACAAAGAATTTCTTTATGGTAATGATATTAAGCCTGATTTAAAGCTATTAAGTGACAAATTACTGGTTAATTGTGACAAACATTGGCCGCGACTTCAATACCTGTCTATCATATCTGATGAAATCACTGGCGAGTGTTTGTCACACCTCTCAAGACTACCGGCGCTGCAAATGCTTGTCATTAAATCGCGTAAAACTAATGATCTCTCGGATAATGATTTGAATGCTGTGTTGTCTTCGAGTCCCAAACTCAAGACAATTGAAATCCGTGTAAACAGGTTTACGAAGAAATTTTATTCAAAGTAAACAATGATTGAAAGCATTCATGATTTTAAACTCATAGACATTGATACCGAGGATCTGTTTTCCAGATGTCATAATCTCTGGATTATTATAATTTTTACAAAAATTACCGGTAATTTACTTTATCAACAGTTGTTTGATTTTTTAATAAATACAAATCAATTCATTAGTTTACTGTTAGTGTATGTGAATAATAATTGTATTTTGTAGTCATGTAATTATTATTTAATTGTTTGTATAATAACATTTATGGTTTAAAATGCATTTAATGAATTTTGTTTAATAGGAGTTTTATTTTATTTGAATTTGTATACTCTTCACACTATTTATTATTATTTGTTTAATATAATTATATTAAACATATGGCAAATAAGCCTTAATTATAATGTATTTACGTATAAATAAGTAATAAGTGTCGCATAAGAAATACCTATGAATTGTAAACATTTAAACCCCGAGTGTTTGTCTTCTATCTCAAGACTACCGGCGCTGCAAATGCTTGTCATTCACTGCTATGTAAGCAATGATTTGTGTGATCTTTTTTTTAATTTTAATTAACAAAGATTTTTACTATTTGAATACATTTTATTTTATAATTTACTAGCTAAACACTATTTGTAATTTTATAAAATAATAATAAAAATTATTTCGAAACAAAATATTGTTATTTTTTAATAAATGAAATTCATTTGTAATTTGATAAAAATTATATCTTTAATTAGGAATTAACAAAATGTTAACAAATATTTCAAAATTAATTGATAAGAGATAAAGAATAACTTCAATTCAAGAATATTTTTGGAATATTAATTAATTAAATACAATTGGCTTAAACTGCAAACAATTGCAACGATTGGCACTTGAATTCAGAGCATATCAACTTAAACTCAATGTCCAAACATTGGATTCGTTGAGATATTATTCCCGATTAAAACGTTTGGATTTAACACTCAATTCAGACATTAATCAGGAAGTGTTGGAACCGTTGAAACTCTGCCACCGATTAACACATTTAACACTCAATATATGGCAAATGAGTGATAAATCACTGGATAATTGCGATAAACAGTGGCCAAGACTTCACTACTTGTCCATCAAAGCTATTATAATCACTCGCGAGTGTTTGTCACACATCTCAAGACTACCGGCGCTGCAAATGCTTGGCATTCAATTATGTTTCAAATATCCTCTCAACAAATATGATTTCAATGATATGTTGTCTTCGAGTCCTAAACTCAAGACAATTGAAATCCGTGTAAACAATGAGAAGAAGTTTTATTCGAAATAAAAATGCAATCAATGTTTAAATAATTGTTTCTTATTTCTTACATTTAAATTACAATTAATTTCAAATCTCGATTCGTGTCTATATTTATGATTATAATTTGTGAAGTGATTTGATTTTGTTTTATTATTCTTAAGATGTAGTCCTAATTGTAAACAATGTTGTCATTCACTAAACTGTATTTAATTATTTTTTGCTTAATTTGTATTTTAATAATTTTTAATATTGTAAACTAAATAAACTATTGGACCTAAATCAAATAAAATTAATATTGGTCATTTTACGAATTTCTAATTTTTTCATAAATATTCTTAATTTATTATATTTGCAATTAATTTGTATGATTTCATATTAAATATAGCAAAATATTTTTAATTATAAACCAATTAATCATTAATAATTAATTATTAATAAAATTAATTCATTTCATTGAAAGTGTGAATAAAATGTAATAAAAATATGTGTCAATAGATGTCAGACGTGTTATCAGTCTTTGTGTTGTTTTCATTGAATGGAAATATTATCACATTTTTGACACAAAAATACAATTCATTCAAACAATCACTTCATTTGATCCCAAGATATGGCACAACAGTTGACACAAATAATGGCATCACTCGTGACCACAGATGTCGGCGAAGACGAAGATAACAAACAACAGGTATTTGACAAACAATTGATTGTTTACTGAGTTTTGTTTTTGTCGCACATTTTAGCTCAAGATTTACGCGAAGAACTCAATGGACAGATTCGGTGATGATTTGTGTGAACTTCTGTTGTCTTATCTCTCACTTGAAGACCGATTTCGTTACGAATGTGTGTCCAAACAGTTCCAGAGGACAGTCTTCGTCAGTGTTGTCGATATTAATATATTTAAAGCACTCAAAAGGATAAAAAGTACTGAAATATTGACAAAAATGGCCAAAAGTTGTGCAAACATTGAGAGCATTGACTGTCGAGGAATGTGGATATATTATGAAGACATTCAAGCGATACCTTCAATAAGTGCACGCATTCCCGAAGCGTTGGCCATATTTCGAGACAATTGCCGTCATTTGCGTGAAATTCACTGCGATTTTTTGCAAAATTGCGATCTTTTAATTGAACGGTTCGGACCTCTGGTCACACGAATCACTAACATGTCATCAGATGGCAAACAATCGCTCAATTCTGAATCGCAAACACACGAAACTGTGGCCCAAATCACTTCACAATTGTCACGATTAACACAATTACGGGAATTGACACTCGGTTGGGATCTAATGAACGAGAACTCATTGTCTGAGTCTTTGCGTACAATTGGTTTAAACTGCAAATAATTGAAACGATTGCGACTATTTTTGTCAAATGAATGCCAAATCAATAGCCATTCATTAGATTCGTTGAGATGTTATCACAAATTAAAACGTTTGGATTTAACATTCTTTGAGGACATGAATGAGGAAGTGTTGGAACCGTTGAAACTTTGCCACCGATTAACACATTTATCGCTATATTTTCATGAAATGAGTGACAAATTGTTGATTAATTGCGGCAAACATTGGCCACGACTTCAATTCCTATCCATCAATAGCAATGAAATTACAGTCACATCTCATTCGGAGTGTTTGGATCACATCTCAAGACTACCGGCGCTGAAGACATTAGAACTTCTCGGTGTGAATGGTATTGATCTCAGAGATAGTGATATCGAAAACCTGTTTTCTAAAAGTCCTAAACTAAAGACTTTTAAAGTTTATGTCAAAACTGTCTCAAAGTTTTATTGCCGTAAAAATGCGTTAAATATTTTAATCATTTCTAAACGCAATTCAATTAATTAAAATTTTGGATACTTTTAACTCATTTGTGACAATCATTTAATTTCTACTTTATTTTATATTATTTTATAAATTATGCTTAAATTTACTATTCATTTAATACATGTTTTTAAAATTTATTGGAATACAATTAGGTAATAATTTTGATTATTGTTTAAATATTTTTTGTATTAATTTCATTAGTTAATCATTTTACAAACTGTTTATTGTAATTATATTTTGAATAAATAAAATTTATTTGTAATTTGATAAAAATTATATCTTTAATTAGGAATTAACAAAATGTTAACAAAAATTTCAGAATCAATTGAAAAGAAATAAAGAATAATTCTATTACAAGAATATTATTGGAATATTAATTAATTAAAAATAACATATGTTTTATTGATTGCCATTTCATTATAAATTAACTAATAAATAAATAATAAATCACATATACAATATACTTACTCTACATACTTATATTATGAATTTAACACCCGAAAAATATATTGACATACGAGCAAACAATGTGCAATGGAAATATGCGCTCAAACTAATCAGCATGATCAATGAAGCAGGATTGTATGTATAGTATACATTGTATACCAAAAATAAATTACACGTATTTATACTTAATTATTAATTATAATAAATACTATGTTTAACAGAAAACCAGACATTATTATAGACATGGGTTCGGGCGACGGCGCGGTCACCAAAGAGTTGGCCACTCGTGTACCGCACCGGCAGTTAGTGGCCATTGACGTGAACCCGGCTATGATTGAGTACAGCCAACGAGTCAATAGTCTGCCCACAATTGAGTACGCGATCCAAGACTTGTCGCTCACGTGGCCAGAGCTGGGCCCTGATGTCCGGCTCCTGGAGGCCAAAGTGGACCTAATATTCTCCAACCATTGCTTTCATTACATACGCGATAAGACTAGAGTGTTGTCAATATGTCGGCGACTGTTGGCCACCGGCGGCACAATTCACGCCTCTATTCTCCTATTGCCTGATCTGAACCGTAAACTACCGGCCGATCGCCGCAAAGGCTGGTGTCTGTCGGTTGACCAGCAGTTGGATGTGTGGCGCCGGGCGGTGGCCGACAACGGACTGACCGCCGATGTGTTTGAAGTGTTTGAAGAGGACTATCGTTTCACTCGCACTCAAATCATTGGTCAATATTTCCAAACCTAATGATAATAATTTATTGCAACTAAATGTTTGAACAAGGACTATTTACTCACAGATTCAATAGGGGTAATGATGTCTACCTATAAAACATACTTCGAGACCAGCGACCAGTTTGATAGTGAATGCCGTGATTTAACGGCCCTATTGTTTGATGTTTGGTTCAATGCTATCACAGATCGGCCCAACCCTAACGCGTGGACACAATTCCTGGCCAATGAAGGCATCGGTGAAGCGGTTTTTCGCGCACAACTTTTAACACTTATCGCCCGTAAAACATGTGAATAAAATATAATATATTTCAATAATAATATATCATATTATGATAAATAATGTAAATCAAATAATTAATGATTTAATTTATGAGTACAAGTTTTATTGCCGTTTATATTATTTGAATGTTTATTAGTTATAAGTAATAACTTATAACTTTAAGAAATACAATTCAAATAAAAATTATATAATTATTTTAATCACTTTGATTAATAGGCATTGTTATTAATAATTACAATATTAAATAGTCATTAATTGAATATAAGTATAAAATTAACAATTGTCTAAAATTTTTGAATCCTTTTATTCGTGAGTTAATTATTTATTGAATTATTCATTTTGAGTGATATTAAACTTAATACAGTATATAAAAGTTAAACTTAATTAATAAACGTATTAATAAAAACATTCACAAATAATATTGCAATGAATAATAATTAATAACAATAATTAGTCGACAATGACTTTATCTGTATTTTAATATCATTTTATGTTCACATTATTTAAAGTCGTGTCAAATGTGTAACGAATAAAATACTGAATATAATATTATTTTATTAATCGATATATCATTTAAATTTTAAAGTGTAAGTTGTTTAATCACTTCATTTGATCTGAAGATATGGAACAACAGATAAAACACAATAATATATTAACTCTGATTTTAGTTGATAGCGACGATGAGAAGGAAGCTGACATTCAACAGGTATTTAAAATTTAAATGTTTATTGAGTTTTCATTGTTTTTGTCCCACATTTTAGCCACAAAGCTATGCGAAGGACTCTTTGGATCGTTTCGGTGATGACTTATTTGGTATTTTGTTATCTTATCTCTCACTCGAAGATCGGTTTCGATGTGAATGTGTGTCCAAACAATTCCAGAGGACAGTCTTCGTGAGTGTTGTCGACATCAATATTGACGACCGATTTATTATAAAAATGATAAATACGAAGAAATCAGTGGTAGAAATGATTGATACAATTGCTATAAAGAGTGGAAACATTCAACGCATTGACTGCCGAGGAATAACCGAAAATTACGAAAACTACATTCCCGAAGTGTTGAACACATTTCAAGACAATTGCCGGCATTTGCGGGAAATTTACTGCAATTTATGGCCAGATTGTGAGCAAACAATGCTAAAAATCGCACCATTGGTCACACAAATTAGTTACATTTTCACTATTACAGTCAAACAATCGCTTACTCATTGCCACCAATTGTCTGAATTAAGTGTCGTCTCGTTGTCTGATATTTTCGACTTTAATTCGGGGGAATTATTGGTGAAAAATTTACGAAAATTTTCATTTTATTATCCTTTAGGTTATAATGATTCCGGATATTTGTCTGCATTTGTGACACACAATCAGTCGCTCAAAAGTGTTGTCATAAATGTTGATTCGGCCACTAATGCAACTCTAACCGAACTCTCGGCACAATTGTCACGATTAACACAATTACGGCAATTGAGAGTCAATGCAAAGCTAATCGATGGCCAGAACTTAGAGCCTTTGCGTACAATTGGCTTAAACTGCAAACAATTGCAACGATTGGCACTTCAATTGGATTTTTATTGGGAATTAACACCAGTACTTACTGTCCAGACATTTCATTCGTTGAGTTGTTTTATTCAATTAAAACATTTTGATTTTGAATCCTTTTCCAGCAATTGGGAAGTGTTGGAACCGTTGAAACTCTGCCACCGATTAACACATTTAACACTCAATAAATTTAAAATGAGTGGAAAATTATTGGAAAATTGTGACCAAAATTGGCCGCGACTTCAATACATGTTTATTGATTGCTCTACTTTTGACACCGAGTGTTTGTCTCACATCTCAAGACTATCGGCGCTTCAAATGCTTGTCATTCATATCCACTATTATCTACATTGTATAATAAACGATGATATTTTCAACAATGTATTGTCCAAAAGTCCTAAATTAAAAAACATTGAAATACATTACTACGATGTCTCAAAGTTTTATTATCGCAAAATTAAAATAAATATTTCCTTATTTAAAAATATAATACAATTAGTTAATAATATGTTTAATAGATTTGTTTTGTGTAAAAATTAAATGCATTTTTGTATATAAAATTTATTGTATGTAAATTAAAGCTAATTAATTATAACATAACATTTTAAAAATAAATTACTTTATATCCTATTATTAAAATTAGCAATTAGATTTATGACTTTTTATTTAAATATTTTATTAATCTGTATTTTTAAGTTATATTTTTTATAGATTAGTCAGGCAAAACTAACCATGTCTGATAAAACAAATCTACAATATTCACTAATATTATATTTAATATATTAATGTTTTAACTATTTTTAAAAATATTCACAATTAATATTGTAATGAATAATAATCACTAAAACGCGCAGGGGCCATTCAGGTGACACTTTTGTATAGTGAGGTTATACTTTAGTAATAACATTATTACTGCTATCAAATATGAATCTGTCTATAAATCCCTATATTTTTAACTTATACAGTACTGTCTATTTACTATAGTGATGCTTAAAATGGGGCAAAAAAGCGGGGGAAAGAAAAATTAAGGAATGTTTAGATACATTCAATATTTTGTATTAGAAATTTATTAAAAAATCAAATTGTTTAACGGATAATAATAATATTTTTGAAATTTATTAACAAAATTGAATATTAATTTAATCATTTATTGTGAATAATATTGTTAATATTGGATTTTATAGTATTTGATGCATAGAGTCTGAGATAAGCAATTAATAAATCATCACTTAATCGATTGTTCACAATATTTCATATAAACTAATATTCACTTTATATTCACTTTTTAAAATAACTAAAATACATGATTATTATGTGAAAATTCAATAAAAACGTAAATCCCGAATTTTTTTTAAAAAATTTTAGCTATGTATATTCCCGAAAAATTGATGTTTTTAGTATCGAAAAATAGAGGCTCTAACCATAAGTTATAAATGCACCCATTCCAACACGGCCCCTCCCACTTTGTTCCCACCTCACCCTTCACGACATATTATATTAATTCAATTGTTGCCAATATTTACCACGAGTTCTCTCATATACAGCACAATTAGCCACTGATTAGATGTCAATTCATATTAATAACTATAAGGTAATAATATTTCGCACAAATCGTCACTAAATTTATCGAAGGAGTCTTTACTATAAATTTAAGACATTTTCCACACAAAAAGTTTGAAACAAACAATTAATACAACAATTAAATCAATTTTAAGAGAAAACGTGTTTGCCTTGCATTCAAACACCAAATTGTGACAAAAATCATTTAATATGTGATTAATAATCACGTATTACTAATTTTAAAAATGGTTTAATGTAAAGTATATCAAAATATTGAATCGAACATTACTTGTAATGAAAATATGTTTTAAAGTTTTATGATTAGAAATTAGATGTCTCAAACATTGTTTGTAATGCCACCCTTACACTTGCACTCTAATAACCTGGGTTACAACTTTAAGCATACCAAATTTACTATTACATTTCAACATGCGGATGCCTGATAATAATTAATAACAATAATTAGCAGTCAATGACTTTATCTGTACTTTAATATCATTTTATGCTCACATTATTTAAAGTCGTATCAAATGTGCAACGAAATGAATACTGAATTAAATTAAATATAATATTAGTTTTTAATCGAGTTTTTATTTAATCACTTCATTTGATTTCAAGATATGGCACAACAGATGAAAAACAAGAATATATTAACACTTATTTGAGTTGATAACGACGATGAGAGCGAAGTAAACAGTCAACAGGTATTTGACAAACATTTGACTGTTTATTGAGTTTTCATTGTTTTTTGTCAAACATTTTAGCCACAAATGTATGCCAAAGACTCTTTGGATCGATTCGGTGATGACTTGTTTGGACTTTTGTTGTCTTATCTCTCACTAGAAGATCGGTTTCGATTGGAATGTGTGTCCAAACAGTTCCAGAGGACTGTCTTCGAGAGTGTTGTGGACATCAATATTGACGACAAATTTATTATAATTAATGAACGGCATTTCCCAAGTTTGCAATATATCTTCCAGGAAAATAGTTTTGCGCCGGAAAATTCTTTATATTCCTTAAAATTGGGAATATAAAACAAAAATGTGGTCAAACAGTGACCAATCGATTTATATAAATACTTTTAACTTAATGAATAGATGTATCGTAATATGCTTAAGCATAATATAACAAATAATTTTGTTAAATAAAATGAGTTGATTTAATTAAAATTAATTTGTATTTTTTAATCATATTTTAAAAATTGCGCTCTAATGAGCAAAGCATCGACACAACTGTATATGCTATTGAATTGTCTGTTAAACTGACTGTTGTATTGGTTTATGTGTCACTTATTTGTACATAAATTACACGCGCTTTTAGTACGAGTTTTTTTTATGTATCCCTTATGGTTTTTATTTAATAATTGAATTAAGTTTGATTATTATATTTAATTGTTTTTATATTACATGAATTAACATTTGCAAATGTTACGGCATTAGTGCAGATAACTGACATTAGCGGGTATTGAATTAATGCACCAATGCCTTATAATAATTAAGCGCTAGAGTCATTTAGATTTGCCAGTGTTTTGTGATAACCATGTGCTTA